GGAAAGGAAACCCACTCTCCGAACTGGAGACAAAAGTGTCATGGGTTCTCAACATATATACATATGTATATATATATATATATGTATGATGTCATATCAAACTTGGGTCGGTTTCTCTCTCTTTTTTTTTACTAACATGTTATTTTTTTATTCAAAACAAACAAATGTTTTTGTTGAAGGCCCCGAGGTTTTGCTCCCACGTCCCAACCGCCGTGCCGTCAGCTCCGGGAACCGCACCGCCTGCAAGGTGAAGTTCCAGGGGCCCAGCACCTGGCTGTGGAGTCAACCACAGATCTAGGCCTCATCCTAGGGAGGCGTTCCCTCCAACAGCGGCTTGAATTTTCAATAAAAGCCAACGCACCCCCTCTTAATCAACCAGGGGTTTATTCATTAATCCGGGGCTCTGAGTACCCTTCAAGGATGGCTTGGGTGTTAAAAGGGGTTCAAGTAGATCAGAAGGTAGCAAGGGAAACTTGCATGGCTTTGTGTGCTTCACAGGGATTCCAGTGGTAGAAACTGGGCCGAAAAGTAGACGTGACAAAAACAAAGTGTCAAGCATGAGTCTAGCATGTGAGATTGGCTGGGAAATGCCGCTGCATCCCTGGTAGAGGGCTAAATGCAAGTTTAGCGGGATTCGGACATATTTCCCGCCCAACTCCTTCACCTGTGCTCACTGCAGCAAAATTAAGTCATCCTCGAGAGCCAGTTTTCGGGAAGCGACACCACGCGGCTGTGCCATCCGGGGTTCCACCAGTTGGTCTCTCAAAAATCATGGCTAGGCAAAGTTTTGTTTTCCGAGTCAACCATTCCCCTGCAAAATGCATCTTCGTAAATTGCGGCATGCCCAAACAAATGCTCTTTGAAGTCACCCAAAACGGGAAGGGAATCATAGGGAACCCAGACGCAAGCAGTGCTCGAAATCCATTGATTCTTGGTTCGTCCAACCTGGTGAAACAAGCTTCATGTAGGCCATCATGAGGGTGGGACTTGTTTGATGCTCAGCACTTTGTGTCAGGCTACAAATATGGGTATGTGCCAAAATAGTGGGACCCAAAAAGTATGATTCCTGGAGGGTTCCATGAATCAACTTGCATTGTGCGCAGTGCTCAGATGTTGGGATTTGCTCAATGTGCCAGCGTTCCAAAGAGCCTGAGTGGAATATGGAAACGAGATCGTTTGCAGGACTGAAACCCCGGTGGTTGCAGATGACGGTGTCCAAGAATTGGGGACTTGATGTTTGATGGTTGCAGGGAAGCCACAAGGAACCCAGCCTTGCTTCATTTGAACGGAGGACCACCAAAATGATTGGCTTCGCTTTCCCTTAAGACTAAGCAAGCACGGTGCCCTCAAACACACGAACAAGCAAACAAACAAGCAAGCAAGCACGCAAGCAAGCAAACAAGCAAACACGCACACACACACAAACAAACCAACAAACAAACCAACAAACAAACAAACAAACAAACAAGCAAAACCACAAAAAAAAGCAACCACACACACACAAAACAACAAACAAACAAACAAACAAACAAACAAGCAAACAAACACTGACACACACACACAAACACACACACACAGACAAAAATACACACACACACAGACACAAACACACACAGACACAAACACACACACACACAAACACACACACACAAACACATACACACACAGACAAAAATACACACACACACACACACACACAAACACACACACACAGACAAAAATACACACACACACACAGACACAAACACACACACACACAAACACACACACACACACACACACACACACACACACACACACACACACACACACACACACACACACACACACACACACACACACACACACACACACACAAACACACACACACAAACACACACACACACACACACACACACAAACACACACACACAAACACACACACACAAACACACACACACACACACACACACACACACACACACACACACACACACAAACACACCACACGCACACACGCACGCACACGCACGCACCCACGCACCCGCACACACACGCACGCACGCACGCCCGCACGCCCGCACGCCCGCACGCCCGCACGCCCGCACGCATGCACGCACAAACACACACACACACACAAACACACACACACAAAAAAGAAAAAGAAAAAACAGACAAACAAACAAACACACACACACAGACAAACACACACACACACACACACTTAGACCCTTACTGTAGGTGTCCACACGCGCCTTTTACCCCACATCGCACCTGAACATCCTCCAGGCTGTCTGCCGGCGCCATCGCTTTAGGAGGAGCCTCCCGGTTGCCATCCTCTGTGCCAAGTAATGGCCGAAATCAAAGGCCAAAGTAAGGGCGAGGGGACTGTTTCTGCAAGGGGTTCAATATACTGACCATTACTCCTGCTGCGAAAATTGCTTCTGAAGTATCCCACAACCACAGTCTATAAAGAAACCCCCGGGTAAATGACCCTCTTCTCAGGTCATCTCTGGCTGTAAAACCCTGAAGTTGGTGCAGGGAACGAAGGAGTATTAACAAAAGTTATTTATACAACATGTACAACTCCTCTTGAGCCTGGCCTATGAGTCCGGTGTTCCCAGTTGAGTCATGATGAAAACCAGGTATGGAAGGGGTTTGCCCAATATCATGTACAGAATCAACTTGGCGGCTGCACCACTGCGTATGGACAAATTTTCTGCACCACCATACTGGATACACCGCAACCGGGGCAGAATTTCGTCCATCCAGGTCGGAATGGCAGTCCCCTGCCAACCTTTAACTACTCAGGTTTTGAGTACGGCAAATCTGGTCTGCCGACCCGGGGTTTTTGGCGAGTACGTTTTGACCCCTTCTGGCCTGATTCAGGGTTTATCCCTGGCTTATCCTGGCTTGTCCAAGGATATCGCCCCCTCCCCACATGTTCGTTTCTGGAGGGCACGTCTCCGGAGTCAAGCCACAAATGCCAGCCACTGTCGTTTGGCTTATGAGCAGAGACCTACAACCTATTGACGGTTGATATCAACATGGCCTTAGATGTTCAGGAAGGTTTTTGCCCTCATGATTCTGTGTATCTATACGCATATACGTATGTACGCCTGTAGACATTGGTTTGTCTCAAAATGGTGGACACCCCAGACAAATGGGTGTTGATTGTTTGGTCTCTCCTTGTAAAACAAGTCCAAATAAAGGTAAGGTCTCCTGGCTATCCTGCAATTGGGTCTCAGCCTCTCATGGCACATGCTGGGCAAAGACAGAAGTTGCGTGATTGTTTATCGAGCAAGAAAGCTTCGGTCCCATGAGTGCACACGAAAGCTAGCAAGGTTGTCAGCCAAGTGACAGCAGTACAGGGTCGGGCCACTGGCCTGTTGGTCTCAGTGTCCGGTTTCTTGACCACCTCCAAGTCTGAGGAAGCTGAAACTGCCTCAAGCGCCTCAAGCTGCTAACCCGGTTGTGGCCATGGCGGGTGTAGTGGTTCTTGAAGAGCTTTGGTGAACTGTCATCTTCATGAAGCCAGTTGGCCGTATTTCCAAGGCTGCCATTTCAGTGTTCAAGTGCCTCAAAAGAGACACGGCCGCATGCACACACTATCAAATCCAACAACCCACTTACCTCTTTCACAGGCAACCACCATCGAGAACCTTTGGTACCTTCCCACACTTCAAGAGGAACTGGGATGCGAATTTCGCACATTCCCCCAACGATAAACATTGAACCAATGAGGGGTAAGCTGAATGTCAGCTTCGGATTCATCTGGAGGAAAAAAACACGGTCGTGCCCCAGGGTCATCACACCTCGCGCTCTTTCGGGGATCAGCACCCTGCCTTTCCTGGTGTTCGATTTCCGGAATGGGATTAGACGGGGGAACTAAATCAGTGGAGCAGAACTGGCGATGCTGGACAAGAATGGATAGAACTGGTGATGTTGAAACCAATGTGTTTCCAAACAGCTAGTGTATTTATATGTATATATATATAAACAGCCCAAGATGGTGGAATGAATGAAACAGTCAGGTAAAGGAAAGGGTTCAGTCAAGAGGCGTCGCGCCTCAAGCCTACGAAGTCCGCCCTGGCATCGGCGAACTGGCCTTCCTACGACCTACGAGGTGTCGTCTTGCGCGATGATATGTGGATGTTTCTTCAAACTTGGGGAACCAATAGGGAAACCATGAAAGTGGCTTGTTTCTGTTTGTTTTCCTTTTTGGGTTCCCTGATATTTGGGTGTGAATGTTGGTTGTGTAAGTAAGGACACCTTTGCGCTGGCTTTGCTTGCGAAACAACCAGGCTCTATGCCAGGAAACAAACACCAACTGACACCATGCCATCGAGCAGAGACGACTGCGGCAGCCAAAGGACAATGAATGCAAGCAATGCAAGCTATAACCAGCCACATTCAACCAAACAACCCTCAAAAGTGTAGGAAATGACAGGGTTCCACTTGTTCCACTTGCAATATTTGGAACATCCGTGGGGAGCTTGGTTCTGCTTGCAATAGGGAATCTACCGTACCATGTCGGCATCAAAATCATTGCCATGTCTTTCCAGGAAGCACCGAAGAACCTCTCCCCCACACAAGTTGAACATCTAAGTTTGCAACCCTTCTGGAAGGGTCCCTAGTCTTGAGAAACACCTAGTTGGTAACTGATGAAAGCAAACGGAAAGAAAGCTTTTAAACCATTGCTATCGGGGGTGTGGTCAATTTGGAACTGCTCCGAGCTATCCAGGCATACGTTGGTTTCGCGAGATTGCCAAGTGGCTAGTAAGCCGCAGTTAACTCCCCTTGTCAATCCTTGCAAGTAGGGCAACTAAACATGTTTGAATGAAACCCCCCAAAACAAAAGGCAACTTACTCCAAGAGGGGCACACCCATACCTCAAGCGGAAGCTTAAAGGGAACCAACGCCAGTTGCCGACATGTTTTACCTCCAGCAACAGTCCAAATGACCCAAGTAAATACCCTGTCAGGATCCGTAACACGGGAAACAGACTCCGAGCTGCTCACATGATTGCCGGAAGCACCGAGGCAGGTCACCTTCCTGCCAGGCTGAAGAACCAAATGGCAACCCCCTTCCGGCCCGGTTTGCATGGAAAAATGTCAAAGACGGATGGAAAGGGAGGAACATGGTAGGAGCTGGCAGCACCTAGGAAGACGGGGCTCTTGAAATGTCCCGAACAGTGCCCCACGGTGCCACCCATTTTGGGTGTTTCTTTTTGGCCGTGGAAAAGGTATTGTCTTCTTAAGGCCAAGTTGTACCTTTTACCGAGCCAAGAGAAAAACAGAAGAAGCCTAAAAAAAAGTGGAACGAACTAAGAAGCAACTGGAAGCAAGTGTGGGAAAAGGGGAAAAGGTGTGCCTTTTGTTGGGGGTACCCGTTTTGTGAGTTTTAAAGGAAAACCAAACGGCAAACCCCCAGTTTGGGTCGGCATCCCCTATATTAAGACACACCCAGTCGACTTCACTAACCCCGCCAACCCCTTTCTCACTGCGATGGCGGTGCAGCTCAAGAAAACGCGGTTACTCACCAAGCAAGGAAGCAAGTTGGTTTTTTGTTTTGACGGAGAGGCGCGATTGGACATGACTTTTCCAGTTTGGGGGTCACAGCAAAGAATGAATTTTGAGAGTTGTGACACGGAGGGCAAGGCGCTCAAAGCATTCAGCAATTTAAAAGGAACGCAGCAGTTGGGTGAACAAAATGCATATGCCCGCCCCCTGATTTATCCAGACGAGCTGGACAGTTTACTATTGGGACCTCACCGGGGGGGTTGCACCCATGAACGCCCATGTCAGTAGAGTAGGCACCTGTGGTGGGCCATGAACACCGCTATCCTCGTCACCTCGCACATGCTTGCTACACGACAAGTGCTAAATGACCAGCACGCCCGCTCAAGAACACATGCTCAGCACTGCGCGCATGCCTGCCAAATGATAGCCCAACGGCCTGCCAAACAATAAGAGCGCCCGATGAAGAGTACACCGTCATCACTGCGCACAGCACTGCACACATGCCTGCCAAATGATAAGCGCACCCGCTCAAGAGCACACGCTCAACATTACGCACATGCCTGCCAACTGATAAGCACACCTGCGCAAGAGCGCGCAGCCGGAGTATGTCCTCTGCAGCTTTGCTCACGATTTCCGGACTATTACTGCCGAGGATTACCTGCAACTGTTGCAAGTGATGCTGTCCAAGCCTCTGGAAGATCCATTTTCCCAGCAAAATCAAAACACCTTGGAATACACTGTCCACAAACTGAGCACATCCAACAAGCCTTGCAGGCATGTACTGTCCTAATGCGAAGTAAAGGGGCAGCACCACCATGGCACATTTGCTACCACATTACTATTTTGTTCAGCCACTACGCTCGCCAGTGGCGAGCTGGTGAACCCCAGCCTCGGCCAGGTGATTGTATTCTTTGGCGAAGGCCTCACGGGACGTTTTCAGATGCTCCGGGAATTAGCTATATAGGTGTGCATGTATGTTATTGAGGACACAGTACCCCTTTCGGAATGATTTAACAGGAAAAGAAGTAAAACAAAAACTGACTGTTGTTGGGGGGTCCCTATTTTAAGACACCGATGTCAGCAACTCTAGCGTTTCCAAGAGGCGAACTGTTTAGTAGGCAAGCAAAGCAACGACTCCTAAAAAACGAAAGAAACACAAAACAGAACGGCTGGTTTACTCTATAGTGGCTTGACTGGGGGTTGTGAAGAAATATAGCTACCTCTCAGATCCAAGTTCGGGTGAACCGATAAATTGAACCCCCTGACTTTTGGGATCGCGTCCGTGCTTCTGTTTCCGAAAATCCCCCCCCCCCTTCGTGTTTTGCCCCTTGGATGGTGTTGAAGGGAAACTCGCAAAAAACTGGAGGGACATAATCTAAATAGGCAGTCTGGAGTTGTTTTTTACTAATCCATACCCTTTTGGTTTGTTCTTTAGGGGGTACCCACTTTCGGAGCAGGCTCTGCTCTGAGCTTCGTGTTCCTTGCCTGACGCAACCCATCGAATTGTAAGGCCCGGTGTCTGAATTTACAAGTACAAGAACCTTGCCCACGCGCCTTTGGAGGGTTTCTTAGCCCTGGAAATACGGTCGGAAATGTACTGCCCACCTCAGGGTTAATTAGTTAGGTCCAAAGCGCAACTTGCTACTTTCCTAGAACATATTTGGGTGCACTACAAGAACCCTTGGTGATGATTCTGTGACTATATTCTGCCATAAATCTGCTTGGTTGATGGGAACCGGTAGTTTGTGGAAGTGCAAAAATGCTTGATCCGGACGTGGGCTGTTCTTGGCACGCATCCACATAGTATTGTCTAAAATTGAGTAAAGTTGCCTTTGCGACCATTTGTGGATCCTTTACACGGTAGCGTCCCAAACCTTAGCCTTCCAAAACAGAGTGCGTCGGTCAAAATAATTCACCCAACTGAATCAACGTGAAACGTACGCCCAGCCCAAAGCTTCCTTTCGAACCTTCGGAGAATATAATAGATTCAAAGAGACCTTTCTGGGGGTAGGGGTCCTGTTCAACCGAAGATGGCCTCAACCTCCACGGCGCATGATTCGTCATTGCTCAAACTGTTGAACAGGCGTAGAGCTGCCGATGTTTGTGCCGTTTGAATCCTGGTCAACCTTAGCCCCTTGCGACAAGCTCTCATGTTGAGGGGGATGTGTCAAAGTCTAAGGGCATGGTTGGGGATCGCCGAGAAACCTCTCCTGATTCGGCTGCGACTAAAATGCTGGGCTTCCTTGCGGGCTCCCTTTGGACACCAACCAAAAGGAGTGTGCCACGTGGTCCGCAATGCAATCTGACAAGCAGAAGTAAACTTAAAAGATGCTGCAGTATCATTACGTAAGTGGGTTGTGGACGGTGGGCAGCAAGAGTTACATGCGGCGACTTTTCAGGCATTGGCATCCGTCAAATACGCTCGACACACAGAAAGCGCCCGCAAGAACGATCCGCCGGATTCAGAAAACACTGGCAACTGGGGCTGTTGTCCTTTCAGTGTAACCAAGCTGTTAAAACAACCTTTCATTGCTTTCATCGTTTACCTTTGAAAGGACCACAGTCTGTTTATTGAAACCAATTCGGCGGGCCCTGGCAATGAATTTTGCCCCCCTCAATTGGCTAAGGTGGCGGCTGCTTGGTGCTGAGGTTGTAGAACAGGCCCACGCCCTCCTGGCCGTTTGACAGCTGCGCCTTTGAAGGAACCCGGGTTGATGCTTTTTGGGATGGCTTCAGGAAACAATCAACGGAAACCAAGCCGTTTGGCGGGGTGCAATATTGGGAGACAAACCCAAGCTTGCCTCGCATGTATTGAACTAAGGTGCTCTAACCACTTTATCCCAAAGCAAGAGGGGGTTCTCCATCGTGACACACCTCCGCATATCACGACTGAAGGGACAAACCGTTTGCCAACCCAAACTTTATGCATTGTTGGCGGCATTGTCAAGTAAACTGAAGACCAAGCTTGGCAACAAACAAGCATCGCGCTTCCTTAATCCAAACTCGCTGCGCCAAAACTGCTCAATGCAAACTCAGCGTTTGTCTTGCCTTTAGTGTAGCAACTATTTCTCAAACGTCAAGAACAGTTGGTTTAGCCCAAACAGCAAAGGGTCCCGACTTTTTCAAATAATCGCCCACGTGTTCAAGGGAGTCATCGTGGGCTGTGGCGCCCAAGTATAGATATATAAGTAGGCTACACCCATGGCTATAAGTTCCTGTGGCTTTCAAGGGTCCTTACAACGGGGCCCAACAAAAGTGTGTATTGTCGACTAAGGTCTGTTGGGGTACATTGTGGACCCCTTGCTGGGACACTCCATTGTTGGGGCACCTTGACAACCATAGGAGTGGGTTGCGCAAAACGGATCCCAAATTCCAAATCCTTAGCTCGTAGTGGAGCATCACTACAACTGTCTGTTAGAAGAAAGGATGCATTTGAACCCAGCCTGCCCGTGCAGTTCGTGACCAGCCATTTCACCATGTTCCTAGTTCTTAAAGTTTAAAGGGCAGTTTCAACAACAAATGGAATCACTGGAGTCGCAAGACTTTCTTATGCCTTGCTTCAAGCTGCGAGGAGCATACGCGAGGAATCCTCCGCCCTAAGTGCCCTAATTCAGGCCGCTACATGTCTTCCTAATGTGGGGAGGGGCCTCTGTGGCCCCAAAAAAAGCCCCTTTTGGGATGGTTTGTAACCTAGGCAGCCCCTAGGGATTCCCTCATCATTTCCTAGTGAGCACGCGCAAGTCAATCGCGGTGCAACATGGGGCCCATTTCAGGAGGTGTTATTTAGGCCCCATCGGGCTTGTCCTTGGGCTTTGGAGGTGAGGCAAAAGCACTATTGTGACGATGTAAGGCATGTCCCAGATCTCCAAATGTTCAGGGGGCAACAAGGACACCGTTTTGGGAAGTCAGCTGATTGAACTTGAATGCAAACTCACCCAAACAAGTTGAGCAACACTGGGGATCTGGGCCCCTTGGCACCCTGTCACTTAGATGGTTTAGGGATTGCCAAAGCCTGCCGTTGATCAGTTGACCCCCAGCTGACCGCAGTTGACCCCCGTAAACCCTTGTAATTCGAGCTACTAATTAACCATCTAGCTAACTTCCCGACCTTCTAAGCAGGTCTAAGACACAAGCACTCTCACCGGCCTGAATAAGCAGCAGCAGCTCATTTCCTCGGCCGGGTGCTAAGTAGATGCGGAGCCATTGGTCCCACCCGAAATGGCTTATTTCCGCTGGTTCCCCCAACCAAACCCAAAAAAGTGAAGATTCACCTTTTATTACCGTTTGGACAATGAGAGGATTTTTACAGGATTTTGAATCCGATCATGCAAGTACGTCGACCTTTTGCTGTTCGGAGCCCCTCTCCAGTTGGACCTAGGCGAGCCTGCAGCTCAGCAAAGGCATCCATTGGAGTGGCGTGGGCTACTGATTTATTGGTCCGTGGTTGCGTTCATATTTGTGTTTGTGTGTGCGAGTGCATGAAGGGGTACCTGCGTGTGGGCCTGCAAAAATGAGTGCCCACACACCTGCGTTCATGCGTGCCTGCATACGTGGATGTGTGAGTGATCTTCACAATGGTGCAGATATCCCTTTGGAAAGTTGCGGAGCAACAGCAAGACTTGCGGGGCAGTTTACCCCAAAGTGGAAGGGGGTATGCATAAACCCTCGAGACCGCTCACCGAGCGTCCAGAAAGGACGGCGATCCGTGGCACGTGCTTGCCATCCAGAGGGCAAACGTCTTCGAAGGCAAGCCCCGTCCTGCGAGCGTCGCGTGCGGCACTCAATAGCAAGGTCTGCACGTGCAAAAGCAGTTGGCGGTTCTATAAACGGCAAACCACTCAAAGGAATCCAATCACTTGAAGGAGTCCTCAAATTTGTAACACTCTCAAGTACAAATTCTGCTCATCCAGAATTGGTGGTTGCATCACATCAATTTATATCGCGGTGTGGCGTGTAATCACGTTCATGTTCACGGCACTCCACGACATGCCATGCAATGTATCATACCATACCACATCATGTATTCCAGTCACAGCATACTATATATTATCATGTATACATGTTTATATCTGTATGTATCAGTCTGTGTGTATACGTGTGTGTGCGCGTATGTAAGTACGCATGCATGCATGCAGTAACTAGTATGAATGTCTGTACACTCGTATGCATACCGCATGCAAGCGTCAGAGCGGGCATGTCAAGGATCAAAGTGTTGTTTTGTTTTTTGTTTTTTCTGTGGCGTTTCGGGCATTCCTGAGAGAAAGGCTGCGTTGGGACTCAAATCCAAAGTGAAAAAATGCACACCAGATTCCCCTATAACATATGTTGGTTTTTAATATACTCCAACCCCAAACCGAATTATTGCGCTTCAATAGCTTGTATTCTGGCTTGAATGGATCCAGTCTGCACGGCTCTCTTTTCGGCTCCAGCGCGAGTCTCACTGCAGGAGTGCCACAACGCACGTCACATTGTCCTGCCTAAGCTCAAGGATGTCAGATTCGGAATGACTCGGAATGACCATAAGAGGCCTGGACCCCCAATGGACCGATGCCTTTTTTGCGGGCTTTGCTCTTTGTGGATAGGCAGACAGCAAATGGTCGTTTATTGCAAGGTTCGCAAAGAACCTGAGAACCTTCATGCTTCAGGTGTCCTCCCTCCAGGACACATCATTTAATCCCCCCGTTCTGGCACCATGAACAGGAAGAAAGAGCACGAAACAAATTACAACGTAAAACCGGAATGTTTGAGCCTTTCAAAGGCGGTGACAAAATATTGCATCCTTCAGCTCTGGCCTTTTTTTTGGCTCCCAGTCAGCATCTCGCTGGTTCCCCGCTCCATACGTAGTCCAAGTTGAAGTTGGTGGCTTCGCACCCATGTGAGTGAAGCTTTGGCATCTCACAGTTTGCTGGGGAACTTGCTCCGCGACTGGTATGTTATACTGATTCAAAGCTACAGCGTAAGGCGAGACGTTGCAGACTTATAGTGACTACTGACTGTTGGGGGCCATCAAGGACCAAAGAGGGTCATGAACTTCCCATTGCCATGAGTTGAAACCGACTGGCAAAGAGACATGGGATTTCGGTGGCAAGCCCCATCTCCAAAAACAGTAGATGACGGCAAAATACTGACCCTAATCAGTTCCTGTCTTGGTGGTTCGGCTGCTCAGTAGACATTCCTGTAGCTGGTTTCCTGGAATGGGCTATTGATTCAAAGGTAGCCATAGTTAACCCAAATTGGTTCGGAGGCAACTTGCAAAAGCAGTGGAACAGATTCGAGGAACCCTTACACTTTTAGAGTTCGCAGGGATTGAGGACATATCCAACAACAAGTCAGAGTTTAGCAACTGCAATTCCGTGTTTTTGATGGGTATGTTGGTCTATTTCCTGTAGAACTTCCTGCCGGTTTCTATGACCATTGTTCTGTGAACATCAGTTCCTCAGGAGCCAACAAGAAAAACAAACCGACACCCAAAAAGCAAAGACCAACTTGGGTATTTGCAGAACGGCAACCAATCGTCCCCGCCCGGGTACCCCCCGCCCCCGGTGAAACCGAGGCGCTGCCTTGGATCTGCCAGAGCCGCCTGCACCACCGCGGTGGCCGCCGCAGAAGGTTCCTTCTTCTGCAGCCCTGGGCTCACCAACCTCGACGCGTCGAAGTTCGAATCGGAGCGAGGGGCAAAACTGTACACTCCCGGCTAACAGCCGGAAGCTCCCAGTTCCATGTTGGTCTGGGGGAGGGTAGGCTGAAACATGGAAACAAATTCCCGCTGGGTAAGAGGATGAATAAATCCAAATTCCCGATAGATGTGGGTAAGGGGATCACTGTTGTGCTTCATGGTTCCTAAGAGCACCCCCCCTGCCAGTCAACCAGCGCTTTGTGAATCCTGGCTTCCCAGCAGTGCAAACCCATCCCCATATGGTGGATGGACGAAATCCCTCACCACTTTGAAACCATGAGAAACCCACTGCTTGTTGGTATTTGCAGGGGAATCATCATCCCGTTTAGGAATTCGTCCGCAGGACCCCTTTGAAGCATCGCCGACAGCTCGCTTTCAGGCCGGGTCACGCCGCCACCTGCCAAGCTCACGAGCTTCGCATCTCACCGGGGAATTGTCGCAATTGCTGCACCCCCAAGGTTGACACCGCATAGAAGAATCCACTGTCCTATTCATAGGGGATGTTCCCTTCCAAAAGTGATGATTTCCCACACCCGAAGGCACCCCCCTATTGATATGCTGGGGTTGTTTCACCTGGGGTTAATACGCTTGGGTGTCATTGTGGTTTCCCTTCAAGTAATAAGCTCAGGTGATATCCCCAACAGCATGCAGTGCTCTTTTTAGTGCTCGCACCTCACAGCCCTCGCAAAAACCCTCGTGGAACCTTGGTGGAACCTTGGTGGAACCTTGGTGGTTTCCCTTCAAGTAATAAGCTCAGGTGATATCCCCAACAGCATGCAGTGCTCTTTTTAGTGCTCGCACCTCACAGCCCTCGCAAAAACCCTCGTGGAACCTTGGTGGAACCTTGGTGGAACCTTGGTGGAACCCTGGTGGAACTCTGGTGGAACCCTGGTGGAACCCTGGTAAAACCCTGGAACCCTGGTGGAACCCTGGTAAAACCCTGGTGGAACCCTCGTGGAACCTTACCTCAGGGCCACCCCGGACCACCCCGGAGCCTATCTGGGCTGAGACCCCAAAGCTTTCAGCTGTTGGGGAATAACAGAAAAAGAAAAGAGGTACTATATCCAGGCATACCCATACACGTGCCATGATCAAAACTTCTGTCGGCCGTGACGGTAGTCGCCTTCTTTCTACAAGCTCTTACAATGATGGTCTATATTTCGTACACAGGGATCTACCACCGTCCCTACCACCCAAGTAATGAAAGGGGTGTTTGACTAAACTCCAACCTATTAATATGTCAAGCCAAAGAAAGCTCACATCAATTTCACAACCAAAACATACTGTCCAAAAGTCGACAAATGCCTCATGTTCGCTCCGAGGGTAAGGAACACGTTTTGTTGCCTATGGGAATGCAGACTCATTTGACAGCACAGGGCACAGGGCACCACACCGGGAATCCCAGTCCTGCATATATATAATATATAATATGCCATTTTGGTCACAGCCAGAGAGGCTGCCCCACAACTTGAGGACCTTTTGCATCGTTTGCAAACAAGAACAATACCAACCATGAGCCAATAACAGGTTTTGGGGCACAAAGGCCTACTATGGCGTTTTAGTGAAAAACACCAAGTATGGTTGGTGGACATAAATTCAACCATAGCCATCTGCAGCACCCCAAAACATGTTGGTTCCGGGAATAAACCTAGGATCTTGAAACAAAAACAAAGTGGATAGTTCAAGGGGTTCTTTCATGTCTTACTGTTAACCAGCAGGGTAAAGTTGGGTCGAATTCCTCCAAGTGGTTGGCCTCCTCTTTCTCATTGCAACCATCCTCAAAGGGGGTTCCTTATTTTGAGACACCCCCAGTTGAAGAAGCCAACAGAAAGGCTCAAGGTGTTGCCTGTCTAAGAGCCTCTTTAGGGCTTCCCCCCATGAGTCGCAACATGTCACAAAAACAGACCTTCAAATCATTTCAACCATTTGGAGGGGTCTCCCTTCGTGTGGACACATCCAGCATAATCTTTAGAAATGGAGGACCCTGCACGGCTGAGGTCTGTTAAAACCCTGACCTAACGTGGAAAATACCCAGCAAGAACAAAGGAGATGTTTAAGGCCACCCAAAACGATAAGCTTTGGGTTGTGACCATCCCCCAAACCCGCATGATTTTCAGGGAAGGCATGGGAAGCTTTACGAACAGGGACCCCTTTGATGGTCCGTCTTTCCTTAGGTTTCCTAAACCCGAAACAGGGCACCCATGTCTCCCAATCCTTGGAGAAGGTAACCAAACTTCTTGAAACGCCAAGCAGTCTTTCCGGGTGGGGTTCACAGAAAATATGTTCCGACGGTCAGTAGTCTACCCGAAACAAACATGTTTGGAGACAGCGAAGTTTGATTCTGCCGCGGACCGTCCTCTCCATCCCTTCGGCCGCGAGTTTTTCCCATCAAGTTCAAAGAACATCTACCGTCATTGGGGTTTTCCGGGAGGTGTCCCAGTCAGGAAGCTCTACCGGACCTCAAAAGCTTTTGGGGCCAGTGGGTTGATTCCCCATTCTTTTCAGCCATCCTTCGTTTCAAAAACCAGTCGTTCTCACTGGGTTTCTTGACGTTTTCTTGAAAGAAGGATCCCTCGAAAGAATGGGAAAGATACCTCTAGGGATGTCCTCCCCTTCCGCGTTGGAGCGCAGCAAGCATCGCGCCTTGTCGCTGCTCAGCACATCGAAGACCCCGTCGCAGGCCAGGACAATGGCATCCCCTGCCTCCGCCTCGAACTCCTCTGTGCTCGATTCGCGTCGCGAATCAAAAAAAATAAAAAACAAGGACCACCCGACCCCCTGTATGACGGAGATGTGGGGTCTATTTTGATGGCCGCCTTCTTGTATTATATTGGTGTTTTAGGGATCCAAGGGAAAACAGAAATGCCCCACTAGAGGTCTGAGGAAACATGGCAAGATAATTGCATCAGAACAAACCTGGAAATGGCGAGCTCCTGTCTTCCAGCTCAGGCTCAACATTTGGGTTTGCCTTTTGTTCTGGGTAAGGTGGAAGCCCGCCCCCCGTACGACTTAACATGACTTATGCATGCCATGGTCATGGCTTCCTTAAAAGGGATCTGCTTGATGGTTGTCTAAATCCTCT